TTTTATTTGTGAACATACTGTACAGAGGGGTTACAATTGCATGGGCAGGATAATGCGTACATTTCTTACCAAGCATTGCAGCCTCCTCCTTTGTTTGCCCTTCCCATCCCTTCCCAGCTCCCCCCCTCCCCCCATCCCAATCCTTCTCCTTCCCCCCTCCCTCCCACCCCCTTCCCTCCCCCAACCCTCAGCTCTTCAGCTCAAGGCTAGCGCTCTACCACTTTAGCCACAGTGCCACTTCTGGCTTTTTCTGCTTATGTGGTGCGGAGGAATCAAACCCAGGGCCTCATGCATGCAAGGCAATCATATCACTGAGCCACCTTCCCAGCCCAGTCACTTCCAGTTTTTGAGGGGTTTAATTGAAGATGAGAGTCTCATGAGGACTTTTCTGCCCTGGCTGGCTTGGAACCACAATCCGCAGATCTCGATATTCTGAGTAGCTAGGATTACAGGTATGAGCCACCAGCACCTGGCTAAGAGTGTATTTCTTTTTGGATAATATAACCCTTTCCCCACTTCTGGCTTTTTGCTGATTAACTAAATGTTAGAGTCTCAGATTTTTCACCTGGCTGGCTTCGAGCCATGATCCTCAGACCTCCTGAGTAACTAGGATCTGAGTAGCTAGGATCACAGGTGTGAACCACTGGTACCTGGCTGAAATAACCTTTTCTGGACTGGAATCTAATACATAAATTACTGAGCCACGACTGACTAGAATCAGGAGATCCTATGAAAAGTCATTGTAGGGCTGGGAAGGTGGCTCAGTGGTAGAGAGCTTGCCTTACATGCATGAGACCCTGGGTTCGATTCCTCAGCACAACATAAGCAGAAAAAAAAGCCGGAAGTGGTGCTGTGGCTCAAGTGGTAGAGCGCTAGCCTTGAGCTGAAGAGCTGAGGGACAGCACCCAGGCCCAGAGTTCAGGTCCATGACCGGACCAAAAAAAGAAAAAGAAAAGTCATTGTATATGTGGAATCCAGGTAGCCTTTGCTATAGTTCTTCAGGAACTTACTAATCCTTCATCTCTCAGAATATTACCCTTTTTATCACAATCAGATTTCTTTTTTTGTTTTGTTTTTGTCAGTTGTGGGACCTGAACTCCGAGCCTGGACTTTGTCCCTCAGCTTTTCAGCTCAAGGCTAGCCCTCTACCATTCAAGCCACAGTGCCACTTCTGGCTTTTTCTGCTTCTGTGGTGTTGAGGAATTGAACCCAGGGCTTCATGCATGCAAGGCAAGCGCTCTACCACTGAGCCACCTTCCCAGCTCCACCATTAGATTTCTAAACCTAACTATCTAGAACAAAACAAGCAATTCAGCTGGGCATCAGGGGCTCATGCCTGTAATCCTAGCTACTCAGAAGGCTGAGATCTGAGGATCACAGTCCAAAGTCAGTCCGGGTGGGAAACTCTGTGACACTTTTATCTCCAATAAACCACTCAGAAAACCAGAAGTGGCCCTGTGGCTCAGTGGTAGAGCGCTATCCTTGAGTTGAAGAACAGAGGGATAGTGCCCAGGCCCAGAGTTCAAGCCCCATGACTAACAAAAAAAACAAACAAGCAATTCTAAACTTGTCTTGAGCAATCTATCAGTCTGGCTGGATTCTTTCTGTCTTAGTAATTACCAAAGGCTTTTGCTGAATAGACAGTCTTTTTGCCATATCCTTACCCCTGTTCCCAGTCTGGAGGAGACAATCTCTTGAGAAATTCCAGACAAAAGAAGCTTTTTGATCTTTAACTGCTTCCCTCCCCCAGCTTATCTGATTTGGG